TATTACCTGAAAAGGATAGAAAATAAAAAGAAGAAAAGTGAAATAGATGGAATAGAAAGAAAACAAAATTAATGTTATATTAATTTATTTTTCTCATTCAAATACATAAGCTATCAAAGTGCCCAGTTATTATTATTATTATTATTAATGCATTGGTTTCTTATTGCTTATAGTTTTTTTTTTAATTGTTTTCAGTTGAGTATAAAGCATTTTGACCGTCGTCGTCTAAGGCATATCGAACTTGAGGAGAGCACAATGAATTTGGTTCCAGAAGAGGAGACGCTGCAGATCTGTAGTGAAGAGAATAGTAGCAGCAATGAAACTGGTGAAAAACAAACTGTTATCGTTAATGACAATTATTCCTCTCCTGAATCATGCCACGATATTCAACAGTTAAATATAAAAAGAATTGTGAACAAAACAAAGGCTATTACACAAGTACAGCATGCACCACCGATTAATAATAAAAATCTTTCTGATAGCGTTTCAGAAGTTGAAACAATTGCCGAGAAAAAACAAAAGATATCAGATGAATCTGATTTACTGAACTCATTAGATGATCAGAAAACATTGGACAATGACACGAGAGAAGTTGAAAGAAGTGATGAGTTTTTTGTAATTCGAAGCCCATTTGAAGATAATCTCTCAGAGGAAAGAAATCTAGAAGATAACACGAAACATGTCGCAACAGAAAGTGCGATTGTGGAAAGTGCAGAGAAAGCCTTGCAAAATAAAGGGAGGAAAGACGAGAGAATAGAAGAGGATGAGACAGACATAGAGGAAAAAGAAACTCATCCCCAAGAGATGGTTGATCTTTCCAGTAGTATACATTCCGAATCGTCACCATTCACTTGCACGCACAGGCGTGGCCAATCAAACGTTTCCATTGAAGATATGGTGACGTTGACGTTAGATATGCGCGACAACTACTTCCAAATTGAGAGCGATGACGATATATCAGAAGAGAAACGTAATTGGGACAAAGACAGGCAGACTTCAGTCTCGAATGAGTTTATTCATTCAGGCGCTGATTCGCAGCGACTTGATAGCCCATTGACGGACTCGGACGTCGATAATCTAGTATCAGAGGATTGAAGAAGACTTAAAATAGTCAATTTGTATTTAACCTGTTTCGAATATGCAATTATACTGGCGATTATGCAGCTTACTGGAAGTTGGCCATGGTGCTTAAACTAAATCGTACTACTCAAATAATTAGTCTAATTCTTATTATTATCTGGCTACGGAATTAAGAATAGGACTCGCCTTCACCTAATTAGGCCTATATCAATTTTCTAACATTCATTCCATACTAATTTTTTTTTTGTAATTTAATATATATACAAAAAAATTTAAATAAATTAAACATAAACCAAACTACTATATTATTACTTATTATTAAGTATGTATTAATTCCAGCAATGTTTTTTCAGTTAAAATAAATAATCTTAATCTATATAGTACGCTAATTTTATTATTCATAGTATGTTCATTGGAAGCACTTGTTCTTATTAGTGTACACTGCCATGTTTAGTTCTCTAAAGCCCTGACGAGACTCTCAAATTTCATTTGACCATATATAGGCACATGTTGACTATGAGCATACAGCAGTTTTTTTGTCAAAGAATATTTGATAGTGTTGAAAGTTTTGCAGCTTGATCTGTATTCTGTAAATTCTTGTCAATGTTCATAATTATTAATTTCAAATTCTCTATTCTTTTCTGTACTCTTTGCTATTCTTTTCTGTACTCTTTTTTTTTATGTCTTCTACATATGACTTTTCTCAGCTTTCCATATGCCTATTAATAATTAAAGATTATTATTGTTATTATGTTTTAATGAAATTTTACAACATTATGGTCGCAGTTTATTATATTGCGAAAAAATGACAGTCAACAAGGCCTCTGTATGTAGCCACTTTAATTCTTTGCAGCTGTTACCAGTGTTTGTAAGGTGAGGCTTTTTTTATACCTTGTTAAGCAAACCAGCTTTTCACCAATAACGATGGTTTCGAATAAAAAGAAAATTTTTATTTTTGACCAATTAGCACACCCACCGGCACTAAAAATGGAAATTTCAGTCTTATCTTTATTTTTATTACGCCCGCCACTACCTTGAAATTTCCAAAAATAAGATGTATATTTCTTCCTAATTGTATACATTTATAGCATTTAACCATTTCATTATTGCATTGTTTACATTCACCAATAAAATTTTTATTTTCTCCTCCGTCTGGATGTTTTTGGCAAAACTACCTGTTAAATATGAAAAAATGCAATTTTATTTTAATTTTTTTTTTCGCTCTCCTCTGACGATCTTTGAAAAAGTAAGTTCGCGAAACAGGTATACAAAAATGTCTCGCCTAAAGGTAAGATAACGGTAATGAGGTGGGAGCCCGTCGTACTAAGCCTCGGTATTGTGTGGTAGGGTGACCAGTTCTTTTCCACCTTTTTAACTTCGCCTAGTATATTTCAACCAGGTAACCATTTATACTCTTGGTTGGAGAGAGACAAACGCATGTAAAGTGGTTTGGCTAAGAAAGGTAAAATGCACAGCGAAGATTCAAATCTCCACCTCGAGGTTCAGAGACCAAAACCCAACCGCATGTGACATGCCTAAAACTAAATATGGTCATAATGACATCACATGATAACCATATATAGGCACATCATGATTATATGAGCATTCTACAGTCTAGACGGGGCTTTGGCGTTATAATACATCCTGTAGTTTCAACTGCGCATGAACATCTTCGTAGCATCAACTGCACATGAATATCGAAGGTCAATGCATATGAACAATTGTACAACTGTTTTCTGCATTTTTGTGTTATTAAACACTTTTAAGTGTTTAGTGTTCGGTTACTCAAATGTTGTACTTTTGAGTAACCAAACACTGCCACCAATCTTCAATGACCGTTGATTATCGAAACTAAAAAATCGGAATATAGGGATTATTAAGTAACCGATTCTTACAGATTTAAAATAAGTGGTATAGACATATTTTAGCACCGCAATAATTGGTAATAAACGCCGCTTTTGAATACGCACCGTTCTTTGAATAAGTGCAACACTAAAGCCTCAGAAAAAAAAATACCATTAATGTATTGCCTTATAAAACTTACTTTAACATTTACGGTAGAGGCCTACATTGTAGCCTTCCAAGTTGCAACGTTTCTCAGAAATATGCTTTTGCTTTATCATAGTAATTATCCAGATAGTATTCCACAATTCAGTTTTATATTTTTTCTGTAATCATCGAGTTTCTGTACATCCTAGTCTTGCATTGCTAGTTGCAACGTTTCTGGAAAATATACCTTTAATTTTGCAGATGCCAGGTCTATTTCACTGTTCAGTTTCGTATTTTCCTGTTAATCATTAAGATTCTTGCCATTATTGGAACTTTTAGAAAAAGCCATCACATTTAAAGTTTATATAATGTTCTGCCTCTGTTGAAATGTAATGCGTCAACCAAATTGATTGGCACTGGTTAAATCGGAAGTGTGTGAAATCTATCTCGCTGTACCGTTTCTTGAAAATATACTTGCTCTGTTATTTTCCAGATAATTATACCTAATACCGTAGCCTATATTAACGGTATAATATTTTCCATTTAAATTACTGTAGCTTTTTTACATTGTTTAAATAACTTTACACATTCAAAGCTAGGAAATCATCCTATTTGAAATAGATACAGCTGAAGTACTTTTATTTGTATGTTATATGAATTCAACTATATAGCGGATGGCTTAACACTCTACGATGTTATCGTGAACTGTTGTTAAATACACCATTTGGGTGTCTTTATGATTGTAGATGGACGCTCTAGGCACTCTGCGATTTGGGCTTTCAATCGAGAGGTCGACGATAAGGTTGTTACTGACGCTTGTCAGTAACCTTACTCGTGTTCCGCGTTTGCCACTTTTCCTCCAGGAGTTTAAATGGGTATCTGATCTGGTTTTGAATGATCTTGAAACAAATTGGTAGTGATATTACTTGCATTTTCCCCCAGGGAGCAGAGAGAGATTACACATTAAGCATAAATGTTTCTGTATCCAATGACCATAGGGGAGAAGTTATCTAGAGCAGTTCTTGAATTGTTTATGGCGCTGAATAAATTTCATATACAGTAAATACAATTTAAAAATAAAAATGGATAGGGCATCAGAATTTTACAACTCTGTAATTAAAACTCAATTACCTGCTTTAGTTATTTTAAGAGCAGTACATTAAATTGTCTTTGTTCTTGTTTGATAACTAATTATTCTCTCTATCGTTGTGTCCAATATGCCATCATCAATGCCATCACCACCGTCACCATCATCATCATCATCGTCGTCATCATCATCATCATCATCATCATCTCTATCATTTCTATATCGTTAATTTCTATCACATTCACAGTCCAACCAGAAAACGAAATACACCGTAAAACGTCTGATAATAACCCATTAGACCTACCCTTTTTTGTAACCCCTCTTCTAATAGTAACCCAGCCTAGAAATTAATCTATAATAATAACCCACTACTCTTAATAATAACCCACGGTGTTACTATTAGAGTCACCAACAATATATACAAAATGACATTCAAATCTTTTGTCACTTTAACACGATTGCGCCATTGATAACCCTTTTTTATAATTCACACTTTGTTTTATTTTCCTTATTACAGAGAATTGTTCAAAATTTAATTCAAAATAAGGATATATCGGTATAACTCTTGATAGTTCATCGACCAATATTATTTATTTCTATGAGTTGTTGAGGCGAAAAACTGAGGGTGGGTGGGGTGTACTATTTTCAAGTGCCTACATTTAGCTTAGTATTCATCATCAACTATTGTCAGTCCACTGCTGGACATGTTGACATCATATTCTGTCTCTTTGCTGTGTTGCACCAATTCGCTCTTCACTAGTATTTATCGATCTCATCTTTCCTTTTTTTTTTTTTTTGCGCTTTCTTCTCCTGTTGCTTTTGCCTTCCGTAATTCTCCATTCTGCTACTGTTTTGGTCTGTATATTGCCTGACATTCTGCTAGCATGCCCTGCCCACTTCCATTAGTAACAGTAAACCACTACTCTAGTAGCACCCCAAAAGAAAACAACCAAAGAACGGTAATACGGGGTTATTATTAGAATTTTTAAGGTAACTCTTGTTTAGCAACCACGCATGCGTTGTTTCTAAATGCGGATTATTTTTGTAAAATAACAACTCTTTGAAAACTGCTTTCGATTTCGGCTGAAACACGATAACCCCTTCATGTTATAATGGCGTCTTTCATTTCAGAAGTTTACGCTTAGGTTGTAACATTATTTCATGCCTAGTTTAAACAGGGAACAGTTAAATTAGTTTAACTGTTCCCTGGTTTAAATAACACTTTTAGCTGATGAAATTATAATGTAAACTATTGCTATAGAGATTAGTGTAATCGCAATTAATGGACGCAAAGCAATACTTCGTGCCCTTTGATACCCGATTAATGGACTGAAGTGACCGTAATAATTACACGTTTGTATTTCATCTCATGTGCTGAGCATTTGTTTTTTTGTTTGTTTGTTTGTTTTTTTTTTTTTGTTCTCTGTGTAAAGCCTGGTTTATAGGCCAATAAAAATCGCTACACGCTATCGTCGACTCTTTTGGTGACGCTGATTGGTCAGTGAGTGTTTGATAATAAAATCATAAATTATTTTAAAAATTAATTGTATGTTTAATGTTTTAATTCTCTTATGGTGTCAATGCTGCATAGTTCAGCTCACAAATACATTTTAGAATTAATATTGCATTTGTTTATAATATGTTTAAATCCCATATCCCGGTATACTCCATTGCTAATGCTGTCAATATCGCATAGACCTTTGTTGATTTTGTATGCATCACAATCAACTGCAAGATGTTAATTGTTGGCGTAAGTAGTGGGGCTTTCCATAAAATCGCTACACAGTCGCCACAATGTGTAGCCAGTCCCCCACGCTATCAGGAAGGTTCCCCTGATTTGACCGACCAATCAGCATCACCAAAAGCTGTCGGTGATAGCGTGTAGGGATTGTATTGAAACCATGCTGAAGACTATTTACAGGGGACTGATAGACGGTGACGACGATATTAAGTAGGGGCCGGGGAGTAGCCTAAATAAGGGCCTGCAAGGCCCTAGGATTGGAAAACAAATTCATCTAACCTCCAAGACAGCTCCACTTTTTAAGTTTTAGGCCTATTAAAATGGGTATTAAGTAATCATGGATGCGGCTATCCTTCGGATATTGTTGCATATCATTGCGTTATTATCTGGGCCTGTGCATCCAGTACTAAAGAATGAACCACTTTGAGTATTTTAATAAATTCTAAAAATAATTTAGGCCTATAAAAATAAATATGTAATTACGCAGCCAGCGCAACCCAGCAGTAGGCTATTTATACAGTTTCATCTTTAATAAATGATGACACGTTAAATTCAGACTCCAGAGGAAAAAAAAATTGATATGTTGTAGAACTGATTTTTCTAAGACAGAAAAAAGTTATTTGACGAAAAATTGAGCAATGGTGAATGAGATACAGATTTTTGAATATTTAAAAACTGGGGGAAAAAGGGGCGTAACCGCCCATTTTTACTCCTTATTCCCCCAGTTTTTAAATATTCAAAAATCTGTATCTAATTCACCATTGCTCAGTTTTTGATCAAACTACCGTACTTTTTTCTGTCTTAGAAAAATCAGTTCTACAACATATCAAAAATTGTTTTTCCTCCGGAGCCTGACTTTAAAGGTACACGCACTGACGGCTTCTCAACTCCAGTAACTTGATGTGGTGTCATTTACAATTAATTAAATGGAAAGCAACCTACATATAATATTGCATAATAATACGATTTAATCTTTTGAGATGCCTCCGTTCCACATAATACCCCTTGAGTATTATATCCTAGAAATGTGATTGGTCAATTCATAGTTTACATTAATTCATAATGAATGTATTCCATCTGTTTAAAAAGATTAAATTAACATGCGAAGTAAATGCGAAATGTGTATATATATTTAATTAGATTAGCTGTGATAAACACGGGTAATAGTCTAAATTATACTTCTGGCGGACGCGTACGTTCTTTGGCGTTTTGTAATCCATTTTGTTTTTGCCTGTTCAATAGTCAGTTTTTATTCATACGTACTCTCTGAAATGAGCTAAATGAACTAATCTAACAATTTTATTGGCTTAATGTTTCCGAGAAGAGAACGATGATTTGATTCCATTAAATACACCCTACTTCTATTAATGCGATATTCCTTTTTAGATTATTTATCGAAATAGTTTTTCTAAGGAGTAACAATGAAAGAGCAATAATTAATACTGACGTTTGTCTGCCGTTCTGAGAGAGGGATTTAAGCGTTGTTTTTAGCCAACGTGTGTGCGTAATAATACGCAGGCATGTTGAAGTCAGTAATCTATACCTAGACCTAAAAACTCGATTAACTCTGATTCACAAAATCTAAATCGTGGCCAATATCCAGTTGCCTGTAATTGGTTGAAGGTCGCCTGATCTTTATCAACACAAACAAGTATATAAAATGTATATAAAAACATGATGTGATTATACACTTTCAGTCGTCGGCCGTATTTATATGAACGTAGATAATTGAGTAGCGTTATCAATAAATTTCTAATATCATCATCACAATAATATAAAATACCCCTTTTTACTTAAATTCAGTTTATTACAGTAATTGTAAAACTGGACTTTCATACGCTACATGCAATTGAAGCTAAATAGAGAATTCGTACCCCATCGTACTACTGTACTCAATATTCATTATAAGAAACCTTTAACTGTCAGACTTCATACAATAAGTTTAAGTATAAAATAGTATTGGTTATTGCATAACCTAATTAGGTATGTGAAATGCAGAATCATCCATAAACAAGTATTTTTGGCTTTAATAAATACATTTTTGGGTATCAGAAGAAAGAATTAGTTAATAATATTTTTGAAAAAAGAGCATTTAAAAAGAGAGAACAGATGGACACCCTAATCAATGGAAGAAATGTTCATCGATTGATCAATCCGTTGCAGTCATAAATGACAATAAGAATAAGTTGCGTGGGTTAAAGTGTGTTACAATACTAATTCTGAGTGTCGCAATAGTAAATCCAAACTCCTCTAATTTATAATAATAATACTAATAATTATAATAATAATAATTCTTTATTTTGCCCTCGTATATGTAATAGCGTAGGCCTACACACTGGGAAATTTGGGCTGGCTCACCGGGGACCCTCGGCTGCCATAGTTCGGCGACACCCGGAACTACAACATCAAACAGATACAGACTGAACTCTTATGAGAGAATTATTCGAGGAGCTGAGCGTTTTTTTTTTTGTTTTTTTTTTTGTAAAAGACCCGACTTTAATATTCGATACAGGAGAGCCGAGTATCGAGCCGGGTATTGAACCCGGGCCCTGACATGCAAGAGGCAGGATCCATAGCCTTAACGCTCAGCTCCATGAAGCCGTATGTTTTGTAATATTTTGAAATATTATGGATTTATGTATAATCTGTGTTTGTTCTTGAGAAGCTGGGTTTATTAGGTATGTCGGTATGCCGCCAAAGTGTCACTTGCCTAAATTGGGGTTTAACGCAACACGCAGCGTGACGACCCACTTCCAAATGTGAATTTTGAGTTAATCAACTACAGTATATTAAACATCGATTTGGCCATTTTATACCCTGAAATCACTGTATAGATTGGTTCAAGTTTCTCCCTCCATTTCAAATAGAAACATAACCAGAGGGGACGAATGTCAAATCTATCACAATATTATTAAGTCTACATACATCGTCATTTCTTTGCAAGGCAATTGTTAAAAGTCCTTAAAAGCTCTTGGTTCATCAGTTACCGTGAATAAATGTTGACAAATTCAATTTTTGTAATGGATAAAAATAAATTACTCAAATCCTCAATAATTTTGCAGTTTTTTTTAAATAAATATCTTTATTGGAGTGGAGCTGTGATATCCAATAAGCCAATTAAGCAATTCGTAGGTTGGAACGGCACATGCCCGTATCCAAAGTGAATCGACATAGACCTATGTTGTGTGTATGTTTGTTTATGTCGTTTGACCTCAATACGGGCATGCGCAGTTCTAACTACGCATTGGCTATTCCGAAGTCATGAGTTTTGGTCCTGCCAAAGTTACTTATTAAATGAATTAATTATTAATTAACAAGTGTTCTTTATTCCACATAACGAGACCTAATCTATGTAGAAGAAAT